TGGGGAGGCAGGAAATTGGAACAGTGGAGCTACTTCCATCAAGCATACAATCACACATGCAGCTTTGTATGAGACTAGGTACCAGGATTGAATAGAAGTAAAGGTTTAGTGAAGTGTACTGTTTGAGCTGCTATTTATTGGATGGATTAGGGATTATTTTTCAGTGCTCCGTTTTGTATTTTTACATGATTTATTGCCTAAAAAAATAGTATATTTAGGGGAATTTTTTGTTGGTTTAGGGGAGAAGGGTTGCTGTTTTTTGTGTTTAGTTTTGGTTTTAACTTAAAGTTGGAGTATAATAAATCAGTAGACAATGTCACAAATATTAAAAAATTGATCCAGAATTTCAGAGTCCGTTGTTTTTTAGTATCATCCTCTTAATATTTGTCTTTAGAGGTAGTCATCTAGAAGGAATTTATACCAATGGCTATGTCAGAGGCAACATTAATTGGATTAAGTCCTCTTGAGTGAATCAGAAACTTGAAGGCTGTCATACTGTATTTGGGGGAGCAGAAAAGTGCAATTTGAGGATAAAATGTAACCTGCTCTAAGTCACAGTGAACATGTGTGGAACTTAGCCATGCTTCCCATTTAAAAGAAATAAACATTGAATACTGTTTAAACTCAACCTCAGAAATGCTCCTTTGAGCACTCTCACAGTGAATATACTTTTCACAGCCAGAGGAAACGATTGCAGCAAAAAGTAGTTTTCAGTCCCAGCTAATGATTCCATAGGCCAAATACATGTTTGTGCTGTCCATTCAGACTATGGGATTAAAATGGAGAACAAGCTATGTAATGGTAGTTTAAGCCTTCTCATCTCCAGAACCAAGACCTGCAACTGCAGAGTTTGCATGAGGCTCAGTTTGACTTTCAGCCCAAAGCCTGAGCCCAGAGGTCTGTCAGCCACTGCCAGAAGCTGAGCAGTGGATGATGGAGAGCAGCAAATCTGACATTTCACTGATGTGTATTTCCATTGAAAACTTCAGGCATTTGTGATTTCTCTGCAAATAGTTTGCAGAGACAGAGAGCCAGTTTCTTCAGCTGCAGGTATGTGGTGAGCCTATGACTAGTTGCTAAATATGATGATTTTTTAAAAATTTTAACTGTTTTGAAGTGTGGCATTCTTACATTGCTGTTTGTGGCCTTGACTGTAGCAAACCAATGGCAAAGGCATCTGTGTAAATAACAGCTATAATTCTGGAAGCATAATGGCTTTTATGTTTCTAAGATTTTGCATTTACTATCTTTGATGTTTTGTTGTCAGTGGTTGGATATCTTTGGATCCTTGCACACCATTGCTGAGCAGCAGACACTGGTTTGGTATCAGAGCCACCACTCTTTGCATGCTGCAAAGTTCTGCAGGAGTGCCAGCGTTCACAGCCTGGCCACTCGGTCTTCTTGCAAAAGAAGTAGAAAAAAGGGAAAGGCCTTGTGCCTCTTCACCCTTGCCCTAGGGAGAAGTATCCATTTTTCCAAGGAGAGCACCCATGCAGAGCTCACTCAGCAGGACAGCAGGTCTGTGGGGGGGATGGCATCTTCCTGACAGAGCATGAGCCCCACGTGGTGAGCTCTGCAAAAAGTACAGAGTAGGGGCGTGCTTTGCTTGAGCACTGCTCGATCAATTTTAATTTTTTTTTTAAATTTTCAGATTTTAAAATATATATGTATATTTTTGTTAGCTGAAGTTTAATTTCATATTTCAGAGCAAAAATTCAGAGGAAAATTTGAAGGACAAAATTTCATCAGTGTGTCGAAGGGAACCTGACAAGACATATGCATGAAATCAGTGAAGTGCTTGCTCAAGTGGGCACTTAAATAGTTCTTGCTGAATTGAGCATACCGTGGGATATATCAGGTTAGTTAGTGGAGGCTCTCCAACTTTTCTGTCTTTTTAGGTGTTCTGTGTTGTGCTGAAGCATCTTAAAAATTTCATTAGCAGCTCAAAGTTAAAAGGGTTGAGACGTTAAGAAACTGACTGTGCTCTGTATTGGGAATGCATTCAAATGTAGAACAAGAGCAGTCAGATCTGCTGCTGCACCTTTGTGGGACTCTACAGCACTCTTTTTAAGACTACATTAGAAAATAATTTCTTTTTCTCTTTTGGAATAGTCACTTTTTAGCTTGACTTTCTTGCTGCAGTGTGTCACATTCATATTTGAAGCACTGGCCTGGTAAGCAGCAGCACGACCTGAAGAATTTGCCAGTAGGTCCATCTGTAAACATTTTGATCTCCCTTATTCAGAGCTTGAGCAGACCAGGTACAAGTCTGGTTCAGTTTAGAAGTCTTTTAGTGGAGGACCAAAGTGAACCTCATAAACCTTATTTATTGCAAGCTGACAGATGAGGACTTTCAGAACACTTGACCTCAAGTGCTTTCATCCAGGTTTGCTGGATTTAAACAAACTTAAGTCTTTCAAGTAGGGCACTTCCTGTGTATATGGGTAATTCAAATTTTGTCTCTGTACAACTGACCAAAGGAATGTTTGAAGTCTGAGGGACAGAGTAAGTTCTTGCAAAACAGAGAAGCTTCAGTTGTTTTCATCTTTCAGTTAAGAATGAATTGATGTATGCTTCACCTTATGGCCTCCTTTGTATGTCTTTGATAGGGCAGAGAATCTTTGCTTTGTTTGGAGTTTCTTTATTGGAGTTTGATCAAATCAGAGGTTTGTAGGATAGTTTTTGTGCTTGTTGTTCAACAGGTATGAGCTTTTTTTTCATAGCCTTGCTTCATCTTCTGGTGCTAAATCCAAGTCCACTTGTTTGGCAAATGAGGGAAGAACAAAATAACATATCCTTGTGAGCATCTGTCACCTTTGGAGCAGCTGAATGGTGAAGCAAGCTGACTGTTTTCAGCATGCCCAGATAATACCCAGTGGCTCTTGGCTCCAGAAACTCTCCTCCAGGGCAATCCATGGCTTTAGCAGTGTCTGTCTACAGCAGTGTCAGTGCTTTGGGAGGTGTGTGGAGAGTTAGATGGGGATATTGGTGTTTCTTAATTTGCCTCTTTTGGGAAAGGGTCTTTTTATTTTTTGAGAGGTGGTAGCTACAGGAAACTCTGCAACCAGAGTTTTCCAAATATCCACACAGACTGGAAAATCCCTGATACCCACCAGCTAAAATTCAGCTATTAACTTATTTCAAATGCATCAGACTGCCTTTGAACTCCCCTGTGGAATATTGCATCTCCCAACAGCAAGCTAGAAAAGCCCTTAAGTATGTTCTGTATTTTGCTTGGAGAAATGTGAAAGGTGATAAAACTTTGCAATGAATTTATCATAGCTGCTCACACTTAGGAGTGAAAGAAGGGCACTGGAAGTGCTCATCAGGGAATAGGTTGGACAGGTTTTCCTCCTAACATTTATATTTTCAGTGATAGCCTTCAAATTTTCACTGAATGATATATGTAAGCTTGAAATTAAATGGCAAGTTAACTGGCTTTAGGACTGGCCTAACGAGAAGCTTTCCACACAAATAAATCCTTTGTTCAAAATACTATCCTTGCTGTTTCTTTCATGTGCATGATCTGAAGGTTTCTGCCAGCACAACTAACATTTTGCCTCCAAGTACTCTATTTTCACAGTATCTTGAAAGTGCCAGCACGAAAATGGAGTGCCATATTAATACAGTGACCAAATCTTATTTCTATTATATCAGTTTAATAGATTAATTTCTGCCATGCTATGGAAACTAAAGTGTAAAATAGAGTTCCTGTTCAGCTGAAGTATCACACTTCAAATCTCACTGATGTTCTTGTACTCTCCTCGAATTGTCAGAGGGTTATTTATCTATGACACAACTGTATTTCTAAATACTTGTAAAAGTAACTTCGAAGAGAAAGGTTTGGATTAACCTTGTTTTACGTAGGAATATTTTCAGTTTTGTAACCATTCCAATAATGTTTGAAAGCACTCCAGTGCCAATTAACTGGAAGCTAATAGTTTTGCCAGTGGAGAGAAAGTTGTAAGCGCTGTAAAATATGTCATTGAATGGGATTCACATTGCAGCATTGCTTCACACTAAGGTAGCTAAATCTCATCCAGCTATAAATGTTATGAATATTACTTCTCTGCTGTTTATATTAAGCATGTCTGTGTAGTCAGTCCAACCCTTGGGGAAAAAAATACCCAACAGGAATTCCTCTAAGAATTTATAGTGCACAACGTTATGATTTTATTTCCTCAGACTTCCAGTAGCTCTTTCATAAGTGAGTTACTGTGTCGGTCTTCTTTTCTTGAAGACTGAGAAAGATAGAGGAGAGGATGATTTTGTATTAAATCTGGTGGTTTCTCTTATTTTCCATGGCATCCTGTTCTTAGCTTCTAGTTTGCCTCTATCTGAAAAGAAAAACCAGAAACTCAGCAATTATTCTGAATGCATTTGGGAAAATGTAGATAATTTTTATCAAGGGATGCATGGGAAGTGGATGTAAATTATGGATATATGTCTGTATCCAGCATATCTGTCTGATGCAAATGCACTCCCCAAAACCAAGTGTGAAGTGCTGGAATCTGCCAAGTGAATTTCCAGCTCATTGTGAATGATGCTTTTCTTTACTAAAGAGCCTATTTGACATGCAGTACTCCCAAGTCACCTGTTGAAGTCTTAATAAAATTTCTTGTTATTTTTTTCCTGGTGTCTAATAAGAGATTAATTTTCCTGCAACAGATGGATAAATCGTCCTCTCTCCTCCACTGTCCTGCTAGTTTTCATTAAACTTTTAAAAACTTAATTATCCTTGAAAATGTGTGAGGCTTTTTCCCTCTGTTTAGATAAAATTAGCAAGTATTTTCAGAGAGCTAATGAAAGGCCAGGAAAAGCAGGCAAATGAGCACAATGCTTGATAACAAAAGCTGTAGAAAACCAGACCAAAATTTTACTTCAACTTCTGTTAATGTAACCAGGGTATGGTGGTTTGGTGGTAAAATAAGAAATCATGTGTTGAACTGTAAAATATGTAAACCTGGTATCCTAGAGTTAATCTCTTGTACCTTTTGCAGGTGGAGATTTACATTTTACCTTTATATATTTACCTATGGAGTACGGTTCCTGAAAAAGGTAGGCACTTATATTATTATGCTTTCATAACGTATCACAGACTTGAAGTCTTGTGGAGGTATAATATAAAGCCCAGGCATAAAGCCTATGTTCATGAGGAGTGAAAATTAAAATTTAATATGCATTCATAAAGTGCTTTGCTACTAGTATTGGTAAGGAATATAAGTTCTTACCAATATTTAATGGGATTTTAAAAGAAAAGAAGGCGTAGCAACACTAGTTCACTTGATTCCTTTTCATTATAGGCATTAAGCTGGCAGTAAGGTTTACCAAAGTATTAATCTAAATTTCTCCATCATCCTCGTTTAAATGTCTCTGACAGAGGTTACTTTTTACTAACAAACAAAATGCATAAGTGTTTTAGAAAAAAAAAGCAAACCTTTTTTGCCTATTCTTTGTATGTACTGTGGAAGGAAGTTTCTGTGGAGTTTCCCATCAATACTGTGTTTCAGGTGATTTAAAAAGAGAAGGGTATTGAAAGCTTCTAAGCACTCTGACACAGGTCTGTTAACCCTGCAACAGAGAGTAATTCAGATTTGTGTGGCAAACTGTTTTTACAGTGTGACTAGTTCTCAGAGCTTGTGTGCAAGTCGGGCCATATTTCTGTAATTTTAGGAGGTGAAATTAGGGGAATGTGTGCATTCAGTGTGTTTACATAATCTTTGTTTTGGTCAAAAATTTGACACAAGAAAATGTCTCTGGTGCTTTGTAAGTAAAAGAGGTTGTACTAATCTTTTTTATGTCTGTAGTTCTTGAGGTGTCCCAGGTGCAAGGCAGCTTGGTGTGAGCAGGTATAACGATGTGTCTGTGTAGGGAGGGCACACCAGAGCTGTTCTCAGCTATTTTGCAGTCAGTAGTCAGCCCCAGGGGAAGCATGCAATTGCATTCTCCCTCTGCCTCCTTGAACTCTTACATTTATGTGTACTTCTTCCATTAACATGCTGTATGATCACTTGATCCCAGAGCACTGTGTGTTTCAGAACATGCCCTGCAGTGTGATGGCTAATGCACTGAGGGGATGAAATAAGTCATCATAATCAGGATTTGAAGTCACCCGTGTCATTTCTGATACTTTATGAGAAGAGAGAAACAGTGTAATTGTAGGCTAAGAGTTTAAGTTGTCCACCTTCTACCTCAAATATTATTTTCAAGAGCAGATTTGGTAAGGAGTATTCTGTGTGAGGAAATGGATCAAGGTACCAACTTTGAAAGCGACAATACAGCTTTCTTTGTTACCAGCTGCCAGCTCCAGTCTTCACTGTTTTCTAGAGCAGGTTTAAATTATTTGTGACTGCAGAGCGAGTGGGTGGCCCACAAAATCATTTCATGTGAAGCATTCACCTTTCCATCTAATCCTCACTGCCCCCATTCTTGGTAAAAGGGCAAATGCTAGATGTGACCATCCCATTTTAGTATTCAGACTTCTGAATGAGATGTTTTGGCACTGAAGGACCAAAGCCAGCATTCACTACAGCATTCTTCATGTCTTATAAATCACTAATATTTGAAGCATGAAAGATAAGTAACCAATTATATTTCCACTTTGATCATATATATGCAAATTCTTCCCTCTCTGACTTAAACTGAGGTTTTTCAGCTCAACCATTTGTTTCATTTACATGTCTACAAAACACTTTTTTGGAGCACCACACCACTAGTGACATCAACAAAACATTAAGTTCCAGTGGCATTAAACTGACTGCTTTGCTTATCATTAACATAGGAATGAGATGTTTTTGTTTTCCTCAGTAATATTTGTAGTTAAATAAATGGTGGCTTTGCTCATTAAGAGTTAATGGCCTGACTGTGCTCCAATTAAATGGAAAAAAATATCATTATCTTTGGTGATAAAGAAACAGAGCAAAGAGTTCAGGATTGGCTGGTTTCTAGCTCGCTCATCCTTGGTGCTAAGCAGTGCCTGCATAATGCTGTAAAACGAAAAATCTTTACAACCATATGGAAGCAAAGCTTTCAGGTGACATATATAGACTTTTTACATTTAATTTCCTTCCTTTAATTGCCCATAAGAATTACAAACTCATAGAAGAGGATGAATTTTCTGTGAATCTTCTGAAGTCTATACTGAGACTTGGAAACCTGAGATTGCATATTCTACTGGGAAAAGAATCATCTGCCTGGATAAACAAATCTTGCTATTTTTCAAATTTAGTGTTGAAGAAAGACAGATGATATGAGTATGCTATGGCTATATTTAAAAAATGCTGGGTGCAACAAGCTTCTGTATGTATGCAGCTGATTGAGTGTCCTTCCTAATGAGTCATCCCCTTCTGAAGAACTCAGATCTGTCTACTGGTGGGTAGTTACAATTTCTAGTGGTACATGTAGCTTGCAAAAGAACAGAGAAAGCCGTGTTGAAGTGTAAATTCAACTCCAAAAGCCTACTCAAGGGACAGAAATGTATGGAAGGCAAATAGAAGATGGCAGGGTAGTATGAAGGAAAAAAACCTGACAGGTAGAGCTCCACTTCTGTTACGAAGGTTCCTCTTTCTTGAGACTATGGGATGTTTCAAATGAGGAAAATAAAGTGCTTATCCTCATGTGTGCACTTACCACTAAGCCAGTGAGTTTCTGTGACAGCAGGAGATATTTTGTTAGTGGCCCACATTTTTTGTGTGCACACAGAGACAAGCTGGCTTCATGCTTTTTTGTGAGAGAGAATGTTGCATTCTGCTGCTCAGCTGAGTTGGTTTGTTCTTTGTCTCTTCTTGGGATAAAATAGCAGCAGTGATACATGCACATGTTACAGCCCAGAGAGAGTAGTGTAAAATTTGTAAATGCCCTTTCAGATTGCTTGTACTCCAAAATTTTAGAGCCTAAAGTCAGACCACCTTCATTTGAAATACAAAAAAAGAACTTGTCAATAAAGTGGTAGCAGATTATTGACATGGTTTCTGTATTACCTATTATTACCTACCTCACCTATTATTGAGATTGTTAACCTTAGACCAAGAAAATAATGATTATTATGCATAGCCACTTAATAAAATTAAATTGCTGTATTCAAAATTTCCAGTGCTTTAGACAGTTTTCAGTATTTGGTAGCAGTAGGACAGACTTGATTTTTCGTAAAAGTTTCTCAGCTATTGGAAAACTATTTGCAGAACCTATTGCATGTTACATCATTTGGAGCAGAAAAAAATGATCTGCATCAGAATAGTCAGTATTTAATTTATTGTTTCCATCTTCTCTTGCCATACCTGTTGCATCTACTTCTTCATGAAACTAATGCTGCTGGATATTTTGCAGAACAGAACAATACAAGAAATGCAGCATCTTGGAAAAATTCATACCACTGTTTTGATTATGTCTCATCATCTGATTCCTAGAATAAGACTCCTTAAAGCAGACTAATTTTTTTCTAGTTTTAACACTGAGATACAATACCATGAATTTGGAAAATATCTACTACCTTGGTTTAAATCAAAACTGACTCTAGGAAACAACATCATGGCAAAAGCTGAGAAGCAGGAGGTTTACCTCCAGAGCCACTGGTGTCTCCTTTGTTCTTGACTCAGTTGAAGCAGGTGTTCTGTTGGGCACTTTTTCTGCCTGGTTTGCATCTGTTGTGACGTTTCCTTCCCATGTTCTTCTCGAAAGGTTGTTATATTATCTGTTTCTGAAGCCTTGTAATTCCTTTTGTTCAGTGAGCTTATATGCCCAGTGCTGGATAAATATTCTCATTTAAATGAAGAATGCCAGAGGCCACTGTGGAGCCCTTTTAACACAATGCTGATATTTGATATTTTACTGTGCTATTAACAGAGGGATAATGTGATACACAGGCCACTAAGGGAGGAAATGAAGCCTGCCTTTGGCAGATTGTGCTTGCTTTAAAATTGATTTGGATTCTCTGGAGGATTTTATTACCTTTTTTATTTTTTACTTGTAAAACCAATTGCTGAGTTTCTGTAAGTGCTGAAAATTTTTAAGCTAAAATAATTTCGGATGTTAAAATCAAATTATAGTCTTTTTCCTTTCCATGAAAACAGGGCTGAACATTAGGTGATAATTAAAACAATTTCTAATTCACTGAGTGATCAAGAAAGAATCTCCGTGCTCCAGAGTTTTTTGAAGAATGCTATTGTGAGAAAGGGGAAATGCCATTACATTTTTAAATAAGCATCACAAGTGGAAAAGGTTTCCAGGAAGACCATAGTTAGATGCCATTTCATGGAAAAGGAATTTGTTTCAGATATATCTTCAAAAGGGCATCAAAATTGTTGAGGGCATTTAGGAGAGATTAATAGAGTGCTTTGGATGCTTGAGATATAAATCATGAGTCATGCTGTGAGAAAGATCAAAGCTACTGGAGAAACTTAGTTTTAAATTATTACAGCACCTTGGTGTACATCAACAGGGAAAATGAATGCATTTTGGACAATGAGGCTTTGTAAGAGAAAGCAAGTCAGCCTAGGAAGTAATTAACTGTATAAGCTCTTGGAAATTAAGATTATAACTGGATCAGGCAAAAGAGTACAAAGCTAAGCAAGCTCGCAGAATTTGTGGCTGAAAGGAAACGGAAGGTTTTTGAAAGAAAAAGCAAAAGGAGAATATCAATGGTATCCTAATTCAGTAATGGGACACTGATGGTAACAGGACTTTCAAATGTAGACAGCAGGGACAAATTTTACATAATCATGGGAAGGAAAAGCAACACACTAATTTAAAAAATACATCTAGAATTGAATTTCACTTTGTCTGTTTTGAATCCAGCTGGGGGTATTTAATAACATCAGAGTAGTAAGTAAATGCTATGTAATCATCAATTTGGCGAGTTCAGCTGGTACTGAGCCATAGCCAGCATCTCTGCTGTGGGTGCATTGTGCTGCTGTTCCAGGCAGGGAACGAGGGGCTGCCACACCTCATGTGCCCCTGTGGACTGGTTGCTAATTTTGCCCTCAGCACAGTATTCATTTTCTTGGCAGCCCAACTTTCTGAAAGACTGAAATTTTTTCAGGGTCATATCATAAAAATGGCAG